TTTGTTCTAACTTCTGCAATTGCTATAAAAGCTTTTGTATACTCTAATAAGATGTTCACTTACTCTGTATTGGGTCATTGTTTGCCATAGCAATATCCTATCAAATCTATTGAATGTTTTCTCTTGGTCTTCAAATGCTACAAAGAGATTCTTATTGTAGTCCATATTCTTTTCTATTAGTTCTTAAACAGATGAACTAATAGTGCATCTGTGCAGCTTCTATTTCTTCTAAAACCCATCGGTTCTTCTGCAAGTTGTGGTTCGTGACAGGTCTCAACCTCTTTTCAACTATCTTGGAGTACATTTTCCCTGAATGGCTCAGGAGTGAGATGCCTTGATATTGTGTGTATTCTCATTTGCTCCCTTGGTTTTTCCACAGTGCTATTATTATTGCTTGTTGCCAATAAGTAGGTGCAATTAGTTGTGTCCATGCTGCTTTAAAGAGTCTATGCAGCCCTTTTATTATTTATTTATTATTAAAACATTTTTTATGCCGCCCCATTCGCCGAAGCCTCGGGGCGGCTTACAACATAGATAAAACAATAAGTTAAAATCCATATAAAATAATCTTAATTAAAACACACATTATAAAATAAGCCGCCCTGGCCAGATAAAATTCAATTGTATTTAGCATTTAAAATGTTGCTTAAATAAAAAGGTCTTAGCCTGGCGCCGAAAAACAAATAACGACGGCGCCAGTCGGACCTCTCTGGGGAGCGCATTCCATAACTTAGGCGCCACCGCTGAGAAAGCCCTTCTCCGAGTAGCCACCCTCCTAATTTCTCTCACGGAGGGCTCCCGGAGAAGGGCCTCTCCCGCCGATCTCAGGGGGCGACTGGGCAAATATGGATGTAAGCGCTCCTTCAGGTAACCAGGACCCAAGCCGTTTAGGGCTTTATAGGTCATTACCAACACCTTGAATTGGGCCCGGACTTCAATGGGGAGCCAGTGAAGCTGACGGAGAACTGGAATCATGTGAACATAACGTCCAGTCCCCGTCAGCAGCCTGGCAGCTCTATTCTGAACCAATTGAAGTATCCGGACCGTCTTCAAGGGTAGCCCCACGTAGAGTGCGTTACAGAAGTCAAGACGGGAAGTCACCAGCGCATGAGTCACTGTTGCAAGGCAGTTGTACTCCAGGTAGGGACGCAGCTGATGAATCAGCCGAAGCTGGAGGAAAGCGCTCCTCGCCGCTGTTGTCACCTGAGCTTCGAGTGAAAGCTCCGGGTCGAGGAGCACTCCCAAGTTGCGGACCTTGTCCCTAGGAGGGAGTGCAACCCCATTCAGGACAAGGTTCAGGTCACCTTCTCCGAAGCCCAAACCGCCAACCAACAGGACCTCCGTCTTGTCTGGATTGAGCTTCAGTTTATTGGCCCTCATCCAGCCCATTACCTCGGCCAGGCACCGGTTCAGTACAGCCACTGCCTCACCTGGATTGGTGGAAAACGAGAGGTAGAGCTGGGTATCATCAGCATACTGATGGGTCCGCAGCCCACACCTCCTGATGACCTCTCCCAGCGGTTTCATGTAGATATTGAACAGTAAAGGGGACAAAATGGAACCCTGCGGTACCCCATGGCAAAGCTGCCATGGCGCAGAGCCATAGTCCCCCAACACCACCTTCTGGAATCGGTCGTTGAGATAGGAGCGGAACCACCGCAAAGCGGTGCCTCCGACCCCCAATCCCGCCAGCCTATCCAGAAGGATACCATGGTCGATGGTATCGAAAGCCGCTGAGAGGTCCAGGAGAACCAACAGGGACGCACTCCCCCTGTCCTTCTCCCTGCACAGGTCATCGTACAGGGCGACCAAGGCAGATTCAGTACCGTACCCGGGTCTGAAGCCGGACTGAAATGGGTCCAGATAATCAGTTTCATCCAAGAGTGCTTGGAGTTGTCCCGCCACCACTTGCTCTAACACCTTGCCCAAAAACGGGATGTTGGCCACTGGTCTATAGTTAGCGGCCATCCCTGGATCCAGTGACGCCTTCTTCAGGACCGGTCGGACTACCGCCTCCTTTAAAGGGGCAGGCACCCGACCCTCCCTCAGAGAAGCGTTAACCACTTCCAAGATCCAGGTTCCAATCCCGTGCTTGGAATCCTTTATTAACCAAGACGGGCAAGGGTCCAAAAGGCAAGTGGTAGGACGTACTCGTCCAAGCACCTTGTCCACATCATCGGGCCGCAATAACTGGAATTCATCCAATAATTCTGGACCAGACGGCAGCGTTGGTGTCTCCCTTAAAACCTCTGAATCAATAGTGGAATCCAGCTCGTGACGAATCTGAGCGATTTTCTCCCTAAAATGCTCGGCAAAGTCGTCACAGCGGGCCTTTGAGGATGGAATCAGCTCTTCCTTTGGCCCTGGGTGAACCAGGCCTTGCACCACTCAAAAGAGCACCGCCGGACGGCATTGTGAGGAGGCAATGGAAGCGGAGAAGTGTCTCTTTTTCGCCGCCCTCACCGCCACAGCATAGGCCCGATAGTGGGCTCTTAAGTGTGTTCGGTCAGATTCATCCCGTGATTTCCTCCACCTACGCTCTAGCCGTCTCCCAACCTGCTTCATTGCCCTCAATTCTGGAGTGTACCAAGGGGAAGAGCGGGCTCTGCCTGGTGGGAGAGGACGCTTAGGAGCGATCGTGTCTACAGCCCTGGTCATCTCCCCATTCCACAGTTCAACCAGAGCCTCGACAGGAGCACCCGTCTTGTCAGCCGGAAACTCCCCCAGAGCCTTCAGGAATCCTTCCGGATCCATCTGGCTCCGGGGGCGGACCCACACAATCGGGTCTGCACCCTTACAGAGGGAGATGTCACTCTCGAGCACAAACCTCACTAGGAAGTGATCTGACCATGACAGGGGAGTCAAGCATAAATTCCTCACCCTCAGACCACCCTCTTCCTGCCCCGTCGAGAAAACCAGGTCCAGAGTGTGTCCACGTTCATGGGTCGGGCCGGTGACATGTTGAGACAGCCCCATGGCCGTCATGGAAGCCATGAAGTCCTGAGCCGCCCCGGTCAGACTAGCCTCGGCATGGATATTTAAGTCTCCCAGGACCAGCATCCTGGGGGTCCTCAACACCAGGTCCGAGACAGTTTCCGTCAGCTCAGGCAGGGAGACTGTTGGGCAGAAGGGTGCACGGTACACCAACAGAATCCCCAATCTGTCTCGGTCGCCCAACACCAAGTAGAGACACTCCAGCCCTGGTCTCGAAGGGACAGGAAGTCCCGTGAGAGTGATGGAGGCTTGGTAAACCAAAGCGACCCCCCCTCCCCTCCCCTCCGGCCGTGAACAGTGCTGGACCATATACCCGGGCGGGCACAATTGGGAGAGGGCAACATCCCCCCCCCCCTCGCCCAGGTCTCCGTTATACAGGCCAGGTCGGCCCCCTCATCCACAATCAAGTCATGGATGAGGGCAGATTTGTTATTGGCCGACCTGGCATTAAACAACAGCACCGTCAGGCCCGAGGGGCGACTGACGAGACTCCCTGGCACCTTCTGGCTGGGAGCGAAACCAGAAGTAGGGACAGGTGTCAGCCATCTGTCCCTCCTTCTTCTATGCGGACACGTTAAGCCCCCACCGCTATTACGTCCATTGCCCATCACCACACCAATGGCGGCGCCAGTGCGCTCCCCAGGAAACTCAGGCGGCAACATGGCCAGGGACGACTCCATAAAAACAAGTTAAAACACTTTAAAATTATAAAACATTTAAAATTGGCCGTTCAATTTTGATACTGCTTTCCCCTGCTACTTGAATTATTTCTGTTGGTAACCTAGCTATTCCTGATGTTTTGCATTTAGGTGACTGTTTAACATCCCTTGCTACTTCTTCAATCAATATTTTGGGTTCTAGCACTATTGTTTTGTAGTCTTATGTTTCCTCCTTGTGATATTCCCCTAGGGGGTTGAGGAGTTCTTTGAAGTATTCTCTCTACCTATTACTTCTGATGGTTCTATTAGTGGTCTTTCATTCTTGTCATTTATTATAATCAGTGGAATTATAATTCTCCTCTCTCTTCTGTATACATTTGATTACTTTGAAAAACTTTCTGCTGGCTGTACTCTCATAATCTACTAATGGTTTTCCAAGGCACTCCCAGGATTCTTGTTTTGCTTTCTTGATTATCCTGTTGGTATCTCTGTGTTATAATCTATAGTTTAAATAATCATCTTTCCGTGATTTTATCCAACATTTATAAAATTCTTTTTTCAGCTTTACTGCTTCTTTAACTTCTTCACACCACCATGCAGTATTTTTGGTACCATTCCATCCTTTTCCACTTTTCTTTTTTCCACATAATTCTTCTGCAATGTTAAACAGGCTAATTTTGTATTCCTTCCATTCATCTTCCACGTTCCCCACCTCTGGTGACAGATGGTTAAATGCTGTCTTCACTTTTGTTGTAGTTTGATCTACTATTTGTTCTTGTTTAAGTTTTGCTGGCTTCACTAATTCATTGTTTTCTTTGGTCTTCTGTTAATATTTATCTTTTCTTGCTGTTAACTCTACAATCTTATGATCGATGTCACAGAGTCCATTGGGGATTGCACTGGTATCAGGTTTTCTGGATCTTCTTTTAACACTTGTTAATATGTAATCAATCTGACTTTTAATGGTGATGTTATTCCATTTATACCATGTATAACATTGTGAGCCCTTGTTCAAAAGTAGTGTTAGTGATAAAAAGATGGTGTTGGCTGCATTTAGTTTTAGTACTGTATTTAATTCAGCAATGGGAACTTTCTTCCCTTCTAAGTAGGAACTCCTCAAACTATCAGCTCCTCCCAAACTTGGGAAATCTTCCTGATTGCCTAACATTTTTAGCATTTTGCACATAATGAAAAAATATACATAACAGAAAAGAACATCAACTCAAAGGAGTCAGGTTGCTTCTGACTTACCTCTAGCATCCTGCCTCTTGTTAGACCCTTCTATGGCCTTTCATATAAAAGCAAATGCCATCTAGCTGAAAAGTCAGCATTTAAACTGTAACTCACCTACCCCAGTAGTGTGGTCTCCTTTTGGTCCAGTGTAAGATGTAGGAGTCTGACCTCTTCTCCTATGCCAACCACTCCTGTTTCGCTTTTGCTGAGTAAATGCACATTCATTTTGTTCAAAAGTACATTCTCCAGGAAAAGCAGGCAATATATCTGCAATGGTATTTGCAGTGTTAAGTGTGTTTAAACTGATCTTTTATAATTGAACCTGCATGTATGTGTGTATGATTTTATAGATGTAGATACAAATACAGATCATATAAATATGATGATGGACAGAACATATCATCAGCTTTACCTATTACATACATAGATCTGATGGACGGCCTGAACTTTCTCCTATCTGGATTTGTCAATATGATATCTTGGGGAGGGGGGGTCTGGTCAGTTAAAAGCTACACATTAATGTCATATTATATTTTCCATACTCTGAAATACCAAGCCAAACAGTTTAGGATTCCTAAATATAAGATAGATTAGACCACAGTAAACAAAATAGACCTGATTCTAGGCTTAGAGGCTAAATCTGTACTTGATCAGGTACAGACTCTATTACCTTGGTAGAACAGAAATGCGAATTAGACCCTAATGACCCAGATACTACTGTCAACATTTGAAGCTTTCCTCAAGTGCCACAATCCAAGCAAAGCTTGTAGGGTGTCAGTGAGAGAAGGGGCATTCTCACTTCCACCCCCTGCCACTTATGGAGTGGTCTTCTCACTGGGCCCCACCTGGCACTAGCTCTGCCATCTTTTTGATACCAGGTTAAGCTCTCATGGCATGGTATTTGATGGCATGATGGAGTATTTATGCTTGCTGTTTTTAACAGGTCCAGTTTGTACTAAAATTGTTTTAGCTGCTAAATTGTTTCTAAATGTTGTATATTTTGAAACAATTATTCCATCTTTTATTATATTTGTTATATTTGAACATTTTCCACATTCAAACCACTGAGCAGGAGAAAGGTGTGGTCGCCTGGCTTTGATTTTGAGCCTTACAACTAACTACAGAAGAATAAATATGGTACTGAATGTGATATCAAGAGGAAAACAAGGACAGCAATCATATTTCTGTGCCTCACAAAAATCTGCTGTGAAGATTTCATTAACTCTCCAGAACAGATTTATAGCTGAAGGGGAATCATCCCTTTCCCAGTTCCCCTGACAGAAGCAGTGTCATAACGGTAACTACTTCACTCAGTTTTCTCATAAGTTCCATACACCAAAATATTCTTGCTGGAGAAAACACTTTGGTGGGTTTAATAAAAACATAAGCACATTTAGCTTACCAGTAGCATGACAACTTCCTAAACTCATTGATACATCATCTAGTGCCACAAGTCCACAGTCCCAAAAGCTTCTGCACCAGCTCACAAACACCACCTGAAATTTGATTTGGGGAGGGGGGAGACACACACAAATGTCTTAGTGACCATTTTAAGCATCTGAGTCATCCACTTAATTATAACAATTAGAGCCCAAATTTTCTTCCCTTCCTTTCCCCTCCACACTCCTTTTTCCTTGTGTGTCATGTTATTTTAGATTATAAGCCTGATGGCAGAAACTATCCTGTCTTCATTGATCTGCAAGCCATTCCAGCTGAAAAATACTTTTATTGGTAAGGGGACTCCTCTGCAATTTTTTCCAGGTTTCTCTAATGAAGCTTTTAAGCTAGAAGTTTCTAATTCTCTGTATTTCCAGGATACTCCCATCTTAGCACAAAATAGCACATCTATATATCTGAATTTCTAATTAACAAATCTGATAAATTTCCATCAAGGACTAATACAAGAGATAGTAATACACATGAATGGGTAAGTGGATCAGTCTTCATCATTAGAGCATCTGAAAAGAAATAAATGGGACACATAAATCAATAGGCAGGTTCATATCTGGGAGAGTTATTTAAGAACTGTTTCCCATGCTTAAACCAACGAACACTTGAAGCAGAAATATTTTTCATAAGGTGTGGGCTTGCTTGGAAAGATTAAATACTTTAACCTTCACTTTTTCACTACTACAGGGCATAGCCTTACAGTACAGACTGCAGCATTGTTGCTAATGAGGAAGCCTAGCATGAATATATCAAAAATTAAGATTCTACCCATACGCAGTCCTTAAATGAGGGCTATCATATCTAACACCATTCAGTGACTGAAGTCACACCACAAGGTTGAATGTGGATTGTTAAACTATAGGTTGTGTGGACCCATCCATGTTAACAAACTGGTTGGTAAGCCATTAACCCATAGTTCACAGCCCAGCAAGTGTGGATTGTTTTCTTCATGGGTTGCTAATGGTTAACAAACCCTGGTTTTTTTTACTATGTCTGGGTTTATGCCAAACAACGACTCTCAGTTTTTACTACAATCCATAGTCCAATGATAACTCATACTGAACCCTGAATGTGGGCTGTGTTGTGCAAACCCCAGCCAGCATTTGTTACACAGTTGCCAGTTTTTGTTGCTCTTCATAGTGGCTTATTTATGCAGAAGACCATCAGTACACAGCAACAGTAATAAGGGACTCCATCCCTCTGTAAATCAAGTCCTGAAACTGTGGTAAGCCACTGCATATAAGTGGCCTGCTGCACATGGTCAGCACTGGGAATAATTGAAAGCAAGCATAAGAACAAGCACAATCATGTAATACTTGGTTGCCATAGTTTCCAAGACTGGGTTAATATATTTATATGAAAACAAAATGCTTCCATGTAGAATTATTATTCAGATGTAGTGAGCAGGTGAATAATGTACATTGCATGTCTGACTTTAAGGAAAAGGTCATTTGTTGGCTTTTGTTTTATACCTAAAGATGATTTTTTTCTTTTCGATTTTAGTATAATTAATAGAAGAATCAATGTATAAAGGCCAAAATCTGCTAAGTGTCTTGCAGCAGACTCAGATTTCACTGTGAGCTATAATTTTTCCAACGCTATTTGTCTGGATTATGTTCAAAGTAAAAAGCCCTTTTGCAAGAGGCAGCAAACGCAATTATAAACATGTTGAGTTCTGGACAGTTTCTGGAAAGTATTTTCAGTCACTCTACCAATTAAGCTGTAAAAAGATAGAAATGAAATCCCCATATACTTTGTCAGCACTCCAGATCCACACGAGGCCATTCAGATATGTTAATTAATCCACACAGTCCTATTTGCAGTTTAAACTGGTTAAATAATTTGCAGATAACCTGTCAAATATGAGATGGGTAAGTAAGCCCTCTTGGTGGATTTTTATATGTCATGTCTTTTGAGTGACATCCAGTGGCTTCCTGGAAAGTGCACAAAATGATGACTAGTTGTGATTTAATAGAAACTAGGAATAGATTGACACCACCACCCCACCATCCCCCTTCTAATAATTATTGGTGATGGAATCTAATTAGATAACAAATTCCTCTGCAGTCTGAATCGTTATAGTCTTCTGTTAATATGACAGCTGAAATACATATTACATTTTATCAGACCATGTAAAATAAGCAATCTAACTTTCTGTCATGACTTCAGCATTCAGCCAGAAACAATTACTACAAGCAGTCATAGCTATCATTATGGATGGTAAATAGTGCTTTGATTTTCCACTACTTGCTGCTTCAGAACTGACACTGACCATTAAAAATTTTGCCTCAATATCTGAAAGCATGTGATTTATATCTCTGCTCAGCTGATTTTTTTAAAAAAAATCTGCAGTGAACACAAAATAAAGTTAGTTTCTAATTGATTATGTTCTGTACTATTGAACTCACTGGGCATGACATAGAGCACCACAATTTGAAGCATAAAACACACTTTTTTTTTTTTACAAGTAAACCAATTCAAACCCAAACTTGGACTACAAACTACAGGCTTTCCTTATCTGCTATTTCCCTCATGCATATTTCCCTCAAACACTAATGTGCATGGAGTTTATATTATGATATATAGATAGCATTTGTAAATGAACTTAGTACATACATTTGTAGCTTCCTGTGGCTGCAGAATGGTGAATCAAAAATTTTAACAGAATCTACTCTGAGCCTCTCTACCAAAGAGGGTGCTAGGAAAGTGCAGTGCTTTTGAGAAAAAAAGAGTGGGGATTTGAAGATGAGTTTTGAAACTGAGGAGTTAGGCACAGAACTATATGGGTGTTCTGCTTCAAATAAAGAAGTATCGATGCTATGCTAGATCCTGGTGTGTTTGTGTGTCCAGAAAGATGTACTGCCTTTCCTTAAAAAGAGAAAAACAACAACAAAACCAAAGATAGCTGTGCTGGTTCATGAGAAGGGGAGAAAAAAACCAAAACCACAATTGGGCAATACTTTTATTAAAACCAAGCAAAATGCCCCAAAATTTGCAAGCTTTCAAGTTCTCCAGAACTTTTCATCAGGCTCAGTGATACAAAAAGCAGAGGATAAGAACAGAAAAGTCCAAAACTTTGACTGACTGTTCTAGTAATGTGGTCTCGAGTTTAGATAGATTCAATCTCAAAATGAAGATTTGCAACCTGAATTAATTAGTCCATGGTAAGTGTAGAAACATCAGATTACACTGAGTAAAGCATTTTTCAATAGAGAAGCACTGGCTTGTCTCCCCTTCTGAAAAGACAAAAGCCAGCTGTAACTCTGATGTGGCTTTTGCCTTAGCTGAATCATGCAGGTTCCTGAGAATATTATTTGATCTTATCTGGCCAGGGCGGCTTATTTTATATTGTATTTTTTGTATTTTTAATGTTTTTAATGTTTATATTTCTTGTAATTTATTGTTGTAAGCCGCCCCGAGGCTTCGGCGAATGGGGCGGCATAAAAATGTTTTAATAAATAAATAAATAAATAAATAAATAACAGAACGTACAGAAACACAGTAGTCTTTTTTAACTAAGCTGGACATTAATTTTAGGTGGTACACTTGGTTAAGTCAGTTGTAGGAGTTTTCTGTTTGAATATGCATAGGATTGCACATTTGATGGCCTTTTCTCATAAATGTTGCATAGCAATTGCACATGATGATTAGTTTTCTTTGTTTATTGCTGTTATTTGGAACACTAACATCTCACTCCAGTATGAAGAAGAATTGTAAATTATTTGTTTTTTGGGTTAAATTAAGCAGCTGCATCTTTCTTGATTTATTGCTTATTTGGATAAATAACACCCACCGAGTTTTCTAAGATGATGTTTTTCAAAATATCATACTAGTATCAGCCTAGTTGTTAGTTTGCTGTATATTGCTCCAGCCAGCAATTGCTTCAGAGGGCTAATTCAAACAGATCCTACAAAAAAATGCACATCCTTAAACACAGAGTTCTTTCATTCGTCTGCTATGCAACTTTCCCAAAGCAAAGAATAAATGTGTTCATGAAATGCATAATCAAAAACTAAAGTATAGATTCAATTCAAAATTTGTATTATGTATAATTCCATACATTGAGGACAAATGTAGAGTAAAATATGTTGTTAAAAAGTGTTAATGTTTCTTCCAAGTTTTGTAACTAGGAAGGCTCAATAGGAAGAAACAACAGAAAGATCTAATGCTCTCATTCTATTTGACATTCAGGGATAGCCAAGAGTCAAATTTGGCTGCCAAAGACTGTTTACTATTTCCATAGACAGCCAAAAAACCAAAGTTGCATAAATTAACTACAGGCCAGATCAAACAAGTGCTAGCCATGTACCACCAGGATATTTTCCTGCATGAGATTTATGAACAGAGCTGACATTGGAACATGGGATAATACCACTTTAACAGTCTGCACACAGGAGGTTATTATCACTTTGCCATCATCTACTATAAACCCTGAATCCTTCCAACAAATGCTTCTGTCTTGCAAGTTATCATCTAATGCATATATGTTTCTTTCTTTTTTCTTGCACATAATATTTTGCCATTTTTCCAAAAGAAAATGTTTCGAAGGACACAATCTTATGCATGTTTACATAGTTGCTGGCAGCTGTAGGACTGCTTACTGCCTAAACGTGCATAAGATTGTTCCCTAAGAAAGCAGCCTTTTTCATAGTATGGCATGCCGTTGTGCTACTTGCTCATTTTCACAGCTTTTTGTAATATAAACTGAAGGAATCAATATGATGGCTCTACAGAAATATTTCTTAGGAGACTAGAACTTGAACAAATCCAAGTAGGTACGAAATTAAAAAATGAGCACAAGCAGAATGCAGGGACATGATGGCCCTGCACTGAATCATATCTTGGACATTCTACCAGTTTTTGACATGCAAGTCATGACCTTTGCGGAATTTCATGAATAAATGTCAATACACACACAAAAGCACAGGCAAAGTTACACAGAGGGAGTATCTCCCTCACATCTGTCCTGCAATATGCCTGAGCACTGGAGGTAACATAGCCCTCACTCCTCTGATCATTGGCAGTAATTACTATCATATGTCTAAAAGATTAATGTTTCAGCTACTGTGAGCTTTTCTACACAGGCTGTTAATATACTGTATCTACTTTCCATTTCATCATAAAACTGAGATCCCAAAACTACACAAGGAGTAATTCCTTTCCTGTTTTTCCACCTCATAACCTCAAGGTGACACTGTGTTGTAATGGAATAGCTGAAATACACCAGAGGAAATAGTACTTTCCTTAGCTTTTGCAATTTAATACTGCAAAATAAAATAAATAAAAATGCCCACTGAACATGCTGGTGCAAAACTGGAGGTCAAAGCATCATCTAAAGAACCTGTAAACAATGGTGAGTAGGGAATGACAAATACATGCTTTGCATAAAAAGCCACACACACACACACACATATACTCTGAGTTGACCTTGAACTAAAAATGCTGAAGGAACCTAATAATGAGGACTTTACAAGTGTGCACACTGGTATAGGTATCCCTTGTCTTTCTTTCATGTAAAAGGCAAATGATTTACAACTATTGCCTACATTACTAACAACCACCCAGAAAGGCTTGTTTGATGGAGATTCTACAAAGACAAATATTTCTATAATGCTGAATTGTGACCTTATTTTCTCAGTATTTTCAGAAATCAATTATAGTATGATTGCTACACAACTGACCTGGTCCATTGTTGGGGTCTTTCCTTACTAGACCCAGCTACAGGGTTGACAGCAATGAGTGATTTCAAATCCAAATACACACATTTAAGCAAAAAGACAATGGCTGGAGCGTCTCTTTCCAGGAAGAGTTGGGCATATTCCATTCTGTTCAAATAAAAGTCTCCATTTTGGTTTGATTGATTAGGAATTTGCCTCTTTTAGAAGCACCAGCAAGCAGTTCAAACCAGTTAAGTAGCTGTACCATCAAATAGTATCCTTGCTCACATTCACACTCCAATCAGTGTGGAAAATTTCACTGGAAAGTATGGAAGAAAAATGTCGCCCTCTTGCTTTATAGTCAGATCACCACAACTCATTTAGGACAAACAAAACAACCATCACCCAAGCAGAAAACACTGGCAGTTACCTTGCAAGGCATGGGCTTTTTGAAGGTGATTTCAGTTTGAGTCCAGACACCTCTGGGAGTATCCAAGACAGACCAGATTTTTTCTTGAACCACATGGTTCTCCTCAAAGATGTAAACAGCCAGGGTATCACGCATTTTGAAAAAGCCATATAAGGCATAATAAAAACGCAGACAATACTGTAAATTTCCTGGCAGAGTAATGCTGTATAAACGGCCAATGTACCCAGGCTGTGATGTAAACTTTGTGTTTGCCAGCAAGTAGTAACCTGCAAAACAATACAGTGTTTAAAACATTTCTAACAGTCCTTGGATTTACTTATTTTAGAACACTTCTAGGCGTTTCATCAGGTTTTGGTGTTACAAAAAATTTCCACTGGCAAATTTGCAAGTTACGACTGTCACATGAAGATAATAAAATATCACAATTTCTTAAGATTTGTTTAAACAAAGGCTCCTAAATAAGCTTTCTGTCATTAGTATGTTTTCAGTTGCACCTAGTCAGTTCCAGTTGTCACTGGGGATTAACTAATTTCTATTTTACAATTAAAATACTTATTTTCCTGCAGCCTGGCTTCAACAGCTCAGCTGGCAGGCTGGCTCAGTTCAAAAGCCACCACTCCCTGATTATGGGATTGATGCTAGGGTCACATAGTACATGGTTTTCCAGTCACCACCATATCATCAGTGGATAACACACATTAGGAAGCTTGTCTGGAACACATTGTTGGATCTTGAAGCGCAGAAAGCAGTACAGCATAATGAATTATTATATACAAATGAACCAGAAACAGAGAGATTTGGGTCTGACTTATCTTATTGCAACATCATTGACTAAAGGTTAATGTAGCTATGCCTGGATCTTAGCCCTAATTTGTTTTTCCAGAAAAGCTGTTCTGAGGCTGTCCATGTTCAGGCTCTGAAGCCAGGGCAGCAGTCATATTCCTATTGTGATTTCATCACCTTTGGGCCTTTCTCAATATTTTGTCAACATATGATCACTGCTAAAGTGGAAAGGAAATTGAGAAAGAGAGATTCATAATAAAAGACAGAATCAGCCAGTGTAGTTACCTAACTAGTGAAGCAAGTCTCCGTCAAACCTCGGTTGTGCAAATGCTCCCTAGACCAAGATCTTTCTGTTTCTGTTCTGACAGATCTGAAACAGCTGTTCATTTACTATGTCAGTGATAAGTTAGCCTGGCTGGCAACAGGTGATTTTGATCTGGTTGCCGTTTCTGCTTAAGAGTAATGTCACTTGATAGTCTCACTTTGGTTAGTATCAAATAAGCATTGCTTTTTATTACCCTCAGGAAAGTGCTGAAGCCTGAAAGCAGAACGATCACATATATCATACCTAGAAGAGAATCATTCCATGTGCTTCAACTGCCCCTATTTACTGGGAACAGTCCGTTTTCTAGTGTCTGTCCCTAGTAAATCACTGTTCTTATTTTTTGCCTTTTGGCAATGCCTGATCAAAACAATCATAAAAATAGAAGGTAGGTGTATTGGTCTGTAAGGAGAGGGAAAAATCCAAAGCCACAGTATCATGATACCTTTATTAGGACCAATCAAACTGTCACAGCATCATAAGCGATTTATGCATTTTGCCAGCTTTGTCATTCTTTGGGTTTAAACTTCCCAAAATCTCTGAGAGGGCCAAAGCAGAATTTACTCTAAATCTGTATTTAGCAGCTATACCTTTTGTTCCACTGGTACCTTACAGCAGACACAATCGCCCAGTTTCTATCCTTGGATGACCACCAGGTACTTACTGTACAGTAAAAATAGGGTGGCGGGAAGACATTGCTTATAGACTGAGATTTAAAGTCAAGAGCCAGTATGGCTTACTGATTAAAATACTGGACTGGGAGTTGAGAGACCTGGGTCAAGTCCCTGTTCAGTCATGAAGCTCACAGGTTGACTTTAGGCCAGTCACTGACTCTCAGCCTAACCTATTCCCAATCTAGGCCTTGCGCAGGCACAGAAGCCCATATGTGTGATGTGCAGAGACCACAGAGAAGATTGCCTGTTTTGGTGAAATTTGAATCTTATTTCTCATGGACATGTAAGGCAACTGCATAAACACTGATGGTAACTATCAGGGTTCCTTTATGGGCCACTGGAATCTGATCAATCATTATGTTAGTCTTGAGAGTTCCAGATTTTCAACAAAGCTTGTGTGATAAACTGGTATTTGATTCAAAATTTCAGGAATTTCATTAGCATGCTCTTCCAGAAGATTTCGCACTTTACCCATGCCAGTAGTATGGTCTCCCGGCCTGTATGCATTAGGCTTTACTTTCACCCTACTCCATCCAGGGCCATCCTTGTGATCTTGATAAAAAGTGCAAAAACCCTCCTCAAAATTGCAACTTGCCTTCGTGGGATCAAAGGAAATTTCTGAAAGGTAATTAAAAAAACCAGAGCAAGAGAAGAAAAACATATGAGATTTATATATGAGATATTAAACAGAGAATTCCAAGAAAACTGTTTGCCCTGCCTCAAGTTTTTCTATGATAAATGACATCTGCTATTTTGCTTCCTTAACATTAAAATCACATCTTATTTCATAATCATATCCTATCATTTCTCAAAGAGCAAACCTTTTCAGCAGCTTTAAAGATTTTTAAATAAAGATTTTAAGGGCTGTATCAACTGATCAAAGTACTGTTAGTTTATTCATTACTTAAAACACAGATAATTATAATTAAGTATAATAATATGATATAATTATACTTAATTATAAGTATCTGTTAATTAAGACTTCATTATGAGTCTTTTGGAAATATTAAAGGAATGCTAAGTTTATTAAATTTAAAAAAACTAACCTATGATAACAAAACTTGGAGAAAGCACTACTAAAAATAGTGACTCTTTCTTTAGACTAAACTTACTTTATATAAGCAGCCTCACACAAGCCAGCAATCCATCCGTGGGTGGTTGTAATGTTGTATCAACCTAGACCATTTCCTCCAGGGTGGCTTGTTCTGGGCAACAAGCTACCTGGCCAAACCACGCTTCTTGGATTTGTCTGGCCCACATTGGATTGTTGGGTCCCCCCAACAACCCCCTTTTGTGCATCCAGGGATGCCGGAGACAAGCCACTTTGCCATTTTTGCAAGATTCACCCAAGCCACTGCCTGCACAGGTGCTCCACCAAGTGCCCAAGCAGCACTTTGGAGGGCCCATCTCTGGCTCACTCTCCCCTACCACAATTACAGCTCCTTTGGCACTCAGCACAGCTTCCCTTTTGCAGGGGAAGGGACAGGGGAGAATGTGTTTTGTGATCTCTGAATGGACAACCACTAACAGCCCCCCCCCACCCCGAGTACCCAAGCTGCACACTGGAGGACCATCAATAATTTGCCACATTTATTGATATCTTTTTATTGGCATAACTGAATGTGTGCAAATATTTTTGGTTTTTAATTCATTTCTGTGCCTCCCAGTATCTGCAGTTCCCTGAGCAGTTTAAAACAGTTTATAAAAATGCAACAAAGTATCGTAAAATCTTTTCAAAATACCAACATTTTTTTAAAAACAGAAAACAGCCCACAGAAGGGAAGGAGTCCTGTGCTGCCAAGGTACAATGTACCCAGGTGGTGAATCATTCTCATTTTCTTCCCCCTCTGAAGCACCAGTTAGACCACTCAAACTGGCCATTTCAGCCACTTCACAGGACAGTCAAAACAGTTCCACCCTTGTGCTCCTCCCACTCTACAAGTTCAAAAGGTTTGGGACATCACAATAGGTTATGCCCTTAACACTGAAGACTTTTTAAATTTTTACTTTTCCAAACATAAAGTATAATTTATGCATGCATTGTCATTTTTTATTAGTACAGTGTATATTGGGTCCTCAGTTCATGTGTCTGAAGGCCATCACACTAATACTTCATGTTACAAAACGCAGATATTTTTGCTGACTTGTAGAGAAATCAAGTTACCTCCTGGACCTAGCTGAACATTATTTTATAATGGGACTCTGGAATGGCATGCTCTGGAGGTGAGACAGATAAAGAAATTAAACATCAGGTGACAGCATACCGGTTACTGGAGATGCAGATTTCAGAAAACCGGATGTTTGCATGGTTATGTCCTAAAGTAAATTGACTAAGGTGACTGATATCAATCAGTATCATAGAAGGAATTGCTTTACTTTTGGACCCAACTGCTACATTACTAGACTATTTGAAATGCTAGGTCAAAGGCTCACAACAGACGTATGTTTTAGTTCTTAGCTTGGTTTTTAGCCTGTTTTAAAAGGTGGGCTCTTTCCTACCATACATGGATTATTAACTAAAAAAATGGTTCTGGTAATGTTGAAATGGTTATTCAATTTAGAAAAGGAAGACTAGCCTATGAGGAATCTTGGCAAAAAATAGTACATTATGCCATGTTTCAGGTTTGGTCTAAAAGTAACACTGTAGTAATAAAAATGAGCAGAGTTCTTTTTACTCAGTAGTCATTGGTATTTTATTACTAATCTACAATATGTGATATATTACCAGTGTTTGTTGCTGCTGATGCATTGAGAGCCTTGATTTACATGAATCATTTTTAAAGTATCAAAAGTTTTTGAACAAGGTACATGTTTGTACTGCACATGATTGCACTGCCCATGATGAACACAGCTTTTAAATAATCCTACACTTCTAAATAATCCTACACTACAATTCATTTACATTTACATTTTTAAACTAAGAAAAGAAATCAGAAAAAAATAAAGGAAGATGAAAATCCATACCTGTCTGATTGCTGCAGAAAACTGGAGAGAAAAAAATGTCATCAAGAGCAATATATCCCCCTTTGGCACTGTTGAAAGCAACTTCAAAAATAACCTGCAAACAAAGTCCAAGTCTAGTTACTTTATTGCTACACCTGTGGTTTATTTCATTGCAACATGCATAACACACCTTCATGCAGGAAACCATTGCCTGATGCTTTGTTTTCAAGTTATTAAGCACAGTGCAAGTTTAAATCTTAACGTTTTCCGAAATCTTCAAGAAGGAACAGTGTTCCTCTCACAGCTGACCACAAAGTGATACCATGCATGAGAGGAAAGACTTGAAACCACACTGAAATACCTAGCTGTATGGTCAAGGAAAACACAACATCTGGCAAAAACTGAAGCATCACTGAAGAGAGAAAATTCAGGAGTGGTACAGAGGAGGTCAAGGCAAACTGCAGATTCAGATGTCTCTGTAAGCTTACTTCCATTGGGTATGGGGCACTGAATTCAGCTTCTCCTAAAACCCAGTCATTACTCGTTAGGCTTCCTGCTTTCCAAAGCTCTTCATAAAAGCCATTTGCATCTCTCATGTAGATGGTGAAAGCAATGCCATTTCCCTGCTGAACTTGGTAATAGAAGGACAAACAGCCTGACATAGGGGTCGTTGTCCTAGGTGAGACCAGCTGAGCCACTTCCTGGAAATGTTTCACATAGAGGGAGTCCACATACATGTAGTGACCTAAAAAGAAGAACAGTCTGTGAATAATGAACATGGTTTCTACAGGATAAGGACAGTATCGAACAGTCATTCTGCTAGTGCAAATGTTGCCCTAGTGGAAACTAGGTTCTGAACTATGTTGAAGAAGAGAATCCAGTTGTGCAAGCAGTTCTGTAATATGCTTGCTCAATCTGTTGAACTTGCACAAGTATAATGCTCATCTGCTCATATTACGGAAGGTTCCAGCAAAGCTCTGCTAATGTAATTTGAATTTTCACAATTACACAATTGGATACTATCCAAAAACAGCAAGGCATATACTGGATGCCTAACTTTTATAAGCAATAAATAATGAACATACAGCACTGAGCACATCAGAAATACCAGGGCTAGTAAAACTGGCATTCTTAGGCTTCCCCCTTTCAGTTTATCTCTCAAGGATAGCTTTGGGTATGGTTTTGTATCATTCACATCTGTTCAATATTTAGAAAGGCAACACACTCAGGGATGCTTTAACTGGAGTCCTGTGCTGAGCTGAGGGCCTTTTAGCCCCCATCTAACTCTTCTATGATTCAGTCATCTTCCATTCCCTCCTTCCCTGTGGTTAATTTATCATAATAATTGTTGAAGCTTACAAGAAATACACACAGATTGAAAAGAAATGTACTAAAGTGGAAAATGGCCATGTTTGCGCATAATGCTAACCCATGGCTTATTTAACCTATGGTTAGCTCCTGGTTTGTTGTCTTACCCAAGATTTGTCTGAGAGACAATCAATCAAACTGTGTTTTGCTTACTCAGTGCCTGGGTTGTTTATTCCTTTCTCCTTCACTTGGTCTCTCTCAGTATCCAAATGCTTTTGTAGGACTGTACAGCAGCTAGGTGAGGAGTGGTTTATTTCTCTTGCCTACATGTGACATTCCCACCAACACAGGACATGGCCCTTGGGATTAGAAAGGTTGCACTTCGGGTACTCAACACAAAAGACTGAGTACATAGTAGACAGAGCACCATGAGTTAAAGACGACATACCCAGTTTAAATTTCCTTGTTTCCCGGATAACTACTGAGTCAACTTTATGTATTTATTTAATCTATTTATTCTCCACCTTGCAAAAATGTTCCCAATATGCATTCTTCATATTTCTCCTTTATTGTGCTGTTTCTTATACATTATTTTATATTCAAGTATCAATACCTTCTGCACACCAAATACAATCACACCTGGTATTTAAGAAGGGGAAAACATTACTGTTTAAAGAAACATGCATCCTTTATCACTGATGTACTACATGGATATTTTCTATTAAGTTATTTGAAATGGAGCATAAAATCTTTTCAAACTAAAGCTCTCAGAAATCCCTCAGCTCTTGAGTTTTTTACAGTCAAAAGATATTCTTTTAGGTGCAAATGGCAGAAAACAACTCCCAATACACTAATGTTCTATGTGGGCACAGTGTCTGGAAATGCTGTCTGTTCTTATGATCTCATTCAGTAAATCATCCCCCTCAGCTTCCAATGTCATCAGAATGTTAATTTCTTTATTTCCTGCTATTGTTGTGCAATATCAAGCAAAGCCTTTGCAGTTTGGAAGGTTGAGAAGTGTAGAATTAGTTAAAAGCTGTGTTCAGTTTGTGATACTTCATTAAATCTATAATTTTAAAATGTATTGTTTCATTGTAAAATGGCTGCATTGCATGAGATACAACAATAGCTGTTACTACAAGACATGATATCTATAACAATTTTTCCTCTTTGCATACCTATGTCTGCTATATAGAATATTATCCATCTAGTTCTGTGCCTACAGCAGAACATTTGAGCTGGTTTTCTAAATTTGTTTCCAGTATTACATGCAGTCCGACAGCATCTTGTTAAAAACTCAGGCCTGTTGCACACATCAGAATTTTAATAATTTCATGACTTCAGCATTAAGTCAGGGGTGTGGGTAACATCTTGCCTGATTGAGGAGGAGAGTTGCTGGGAGTTGTAGGATTTATTTCTGTTTAAGCATGCATAGGATTGTATCCTAAGAGATCATAATCAGTGTCCTACTGTAGAACAGATATTATTACTTTTATTACTTCACCTGATCTTCTGTTTATCTTGGAACATTTCAGTTACTTACATAGGGAGAATAACACCCCACCCCCCCACACACACACTTCGTATTTTACAACTTAAGTATCTTGTAAATGAGGAACAGTGTCTAGTTACAGCAACTAGAAGCAGCCATTTTAGCACGAACAAGCCATCTTAGGAAGCAAAAACCATTCCCTGTCTCAAAGATGGAGCAGCATGGAACTGCCTGAGATCTGTGGGATAACTGATAAATCTCGGTGACATAACAAAATGGCTCCAATAAGGTTCCAAAAACATAACTTGAGGAGGTGGTAGCATAGCAAATCTCATGATGTTTCATAGTGTCCCAGATGGAACTTCCCAAATTAAGAGAATGGTTGTGAAACCTTTCTTTCCAATGTGTTCAGTTAATCATTCTTACTATGGATAGTTCAGAGAGTGGTGACCTTCCTATGACCTAGGCAATGACTACCGTTGTTAACCAGGCAAACATTTGGGCTCATGTCTGATGTTTAGAAGATATTTTTGGAACTATAAAGACCTTGAACCTGGACTCCTCTTTCTTGGGTCAGCAGGAGACAAAACTGGAATAATCTGCATAGGTTACCATCTCTTTGTAAAGTGTTCTCAGTAAGTTAACTTAATATCTCTAGAAATATGTTAATATACTTATATGTATTTTAATGAGCTCTTCTCATTCATCCCTGTCACTGATAACAAGGGGTTTTTTTAAACTAACAAAGCTTAAAATCCTGGAATTTTGCTATTTAAAACAAAAATTACTTAGAGTCACACCATGCAGAAACCTAAAGGGGCTCTCTGGATTCTAGCTGTCTGACCTTGCAAAAGAAAACAAACAAACTGAATGAAAAATCCTCACATAAGGTTTGACATATCCTTAGTCAAAATGGGTTCTCCAAACATAGCTGTGGGTCTGCATTTTTCATCAAAAGACCACATGAAAATGAGCAGAGTCTGCTGAATGAGCACAAGTGCCACTGGATTTGACATCCGCTCTAGTTTTAGAGCCAAATGCATCTGTTGTACTCAATCTTTCCAATGAACAAATATAACACTTTGTGGTTTAACATCTCTGAAGAGATCTCTAATTCATAGTTTGAGAATCCACCTCATACTTAGTTTACAAAAACAGCTAGGACACAAATTTCACCAGCAGTGTAGCCTTTTGTAAAAGAAAAAATGACATACATATCTCTCTGATTTTCCTCTAGCAATGTTGCATTTCTGTTTTGTACCACAATATAGCAGAATATTCTCATGCTCTCTAAAATTCTGGACACAAGTTTCATGTTGCTTGCATCAGCTTATTATAAAAATGGTCTGACCTGTGTTTAGAAGACCCATGTCTTATATATAATTATATCTTTTTATGCTTTCAGCACTTTTCATAAATTAAGCGTGCAATCCTATACACATTTAGACAGAAAAACAACTAGCTGGGGCATGCTGGGAGTTGTTGGCTGTTTTATTGTCCAAACATCCATATGATTGCATCTTGCAGCAATATTTATCTTTCCTCTTCTGAGTATCCAAAGGGGGAGGGGATAGTCTACATCTGAGAAACTCGTTTCATGAATTGAGCTGATCCTCTCTCACACCATTACCATTGTCTGGACTAAAACAAGCACGTGAAGAAACATGGTACAGTAGAAAAGAGGAGCAGCATCTCCAAGGCCTCCAATGGGAGCTGATATTTGGGCCCCTGGCGGAAAGGACCAACCACAGCCAGCCTTGAAAGTATTCAACAAAAACAAAAATATGTCCAAATGACTTCCACTGAAGAAATATATTTAAACACTTGATCCTTTAGGCAGCACAGAAATAGTTTTAAATTGATAGATAATATATACTAAGCCTTTGCTTAGATATTAATTTGACTGTACTAGATTAGTGAGCATCCGTAACTAATTGGATGTTATGAAAAGATGCCCAATAATCCATCAGTTTCAAATTCCAAAGTAGATGTTGTGATTTAGGTAGTGTGAACCTTGTTCTCATGTCTATTTCCTTCCGATGCCAATAGCAAGACTGCAGCAGGGATAGAAAGCATTTTATTTTAGAAAGCCCCTTTCTCCTGTGTTCCCAGTAATTACGACCCCCTTCTAATTGGTTCTATTTCTTCTTTCATTGCATTTGTTCATTATGTGCACATTCAATGCAAATGCATATTTAATGTCATGCATCTGAAATGAGATGTGCATAAACATCTGATTGAACACAAAGGACATCAGCTTTGAATGAACATCCCATTCTGTATCTGATTTATGCTTACAGTTCCTAAATTCCATGGCGTTTCCATTGATATCTGATACCACAGAACAGAAAACCAAAACTATTCACAGAAATAAAAAGGACACTTTTATATCCTTTGTAGGAATGTTTCTTACACTCTGTATTTCAGTTCACACACTGTGGAATGGTTATAAAATATATTTACTTCAAAATAGCACACAAGGTAATAAAGGAATCATGATTCTTGATCAAGAATATGTTATAAGGCAATTTTTAAGTATGTTCATTAATCTGTAGAGCATATGTAAATAGCTGACATGATTCTTGAGAAAATATTTATGGAACAGTGTCTGGATGTGAAGTTACTCAAACATGAACACAATGAATGAAGCTTTAAAAAGTTATAACTAGGGAATCAAGCCTAAAAATATTTACAGAAGCAATATAGTTCACAATATATGTGGAATCCATGCAAAAGCACAGCAGTGCTCATGTGTGCCATTATCATGTATGTCAATACTGGGGAAGAAGGCCTTCTGTGGAATGCTGGACCTTCCATGTTTTCAGATTATTTTCCCAGCTGAGTGCCCACTTTGTCACAAATGTCATTAGCTAATTCAGTTTGCCATTTACACTCCCATTCTCTCTATCTTCAAGTGTGTTTTCTAAAGCTTTAAACTTTAGAAAAACATGATTTCAAAATTTTCAGTCATAGCAATCTCATATTTCAGTGCAGGAATCTGAAGCAAAAGTCTTTGGGCAGATGAAGTAATATATGAAAGTACTTTTTAACGGAATACTTTTGGATTAATAGTTCCAGATTTACTCCCAACCCTTTTCCATGTTAATGATTTCACTTGCTTACCATATTCATTTTTAAGAGTGTGATCTCTTGGAAGGATGGATTGTGAATTTCCAGTGTTTCCTCCACCAACAAACCAGTTCACATTGGGGTTCCAACGGTTCAGATAACCACACAGATGATTTTCTTCAAAATTACATTCTGTAGTTGCAAAAAAAAAAAAAATACCACTGAAAGTTTGACAGCATGAAACAAGGATTCATTCCATGGAATGCCTAAACAACTGGTACACCAGCTACCATCAAGTCATTGTAGTGGTTTAAAAACAGCTCTATTTTTATTCAAAGATATTCCACAGTTTCAACCACACCCTCCTCCCACCTATTATCATAATCCAAACAGGCTCTTTCATTAAACTTTCAACCAAGCTGTCAATCAACATATATAATAGAAAAGAGGAAGCAACACAAATGCTATCACATTTAATACTATTTCATCTCCTAAGCTGCTAAGTACCAAATGCTCCAAGACCTCTCTCTCAGGAGTTCCTCTAACCCAATTCCTCTATGTAGAAGAGGTTTAGTGCTCTGCAGTGTTTGTTTGACTACCAATAATGGATTTGGATTTTTAAGTTTAAACACAGCTACAAATCACATCAATAATGAACAGAAGTTAACATTTAGTTATCTGCATGTATTTAAGTTCTGAACTTTGGTATATTGTATGTAGACCAAGGGATTGAACCCAAACTTTCCCAGATCCCACCCATGCTGACTGGAGAATGGTGGAAGCTGTGGGACTTCTTTCTGTGTAAACATACATAAAATTGTGCTCTAGAAAGTGGAATAAGACTCTGACAGTACAATATAATACATGCCTAGAATGAATTAGCCTTGGGAGCTAATTCCACTGAACTCAAATGAGACTCTCCCCGCCCCCCATTGTCTGTGCATGCATGCATGCACATGTGTAAAACTGCACTGGGAATCTTCTATTCCACTATGTCAAAACAGTGTGGTCAAGCAATAAGCTGACTTGCTTCAGTCACAAGCAGGAGTGTGCAACTGCACACATGTTCTGTTTGTGGGCTCCCCACAGGCAGCTGATTGACCACTGTATGAGCAGTATGCTAGACGAGATATACTTTGGGTCTGCTCCAGCATGGCCGTTGTTTGTTTAGATATCTGATAAAACTGACCACTGTCCTGGAGCATCTGCTATGTTCTGCTGCAAAAGCTGAGCAAGACTATACAGATCTGGCAGTCGCAGCAATCCAACACTGAAGCAACATGCTCCTTCTGTTTTGGGCTGCTGCTGGACTGCTCCTGATGGTCCTGACTCGCTTGTTCAGCATTCTAATGCATCACCCTTTTACCTGTCTCACTTGGGCTCTCGCCTGAACTGTCATTGTCTTCAATTATGGAGAGTGCTATGAATTAGGACACCATAATCTCGCTACTATGTAATATTCATCACTTCCTCAGATTGAAAGTTAGTTCTAGTACCTTGACTTTGTTGTGGATTTTGCTACAACAAAGTACAATCAAAACACTTAAGTAATATGTTAATATAGTATGATATGGACTGTTGTTCATATTACAAGTAGTTCCACAATTCAAAATCAAACTAGAGGTTATGATTACAAAAGCCACCTACCTAAACAGTAGCCAGTAGTTACTTTAATTTCAAAAATTGCTATGCTGGCAAAAATATCTCTTCCCAGTACACCTTCTAGTACAATCTACAAAATAAGCCAAAACCAGGATAATGTAAGTACCAATATTTACACAGATCTGTTACACTGAAAATACCTAAATTACTTGAGAAGGGGGATAACTTAGTTTTATGACAGATTGTTATGATTCCCCTTCTTGGCTGAATGGGGGCAGACTCCCCCCACCCATGGGACACACTGCTTCTCCCTTTGTGATTGCCAGTTTTAAAACATAACATACATTGTGGCTATGGGTCATTCCTTAGTGGATGCTCTGTAGCCACCTCCAAGCACTAAGAGTAAAAATTAGCTCACAAATAAGCTAGTTGGTAGCAACTATGGGTGTCTTATTTATATGTATGTATGCATTCCCAATTTTGGAAGGTGCCATGGGGCAGTACTTGCTGCCCATTGTCCATCTTTACCCTGAATATTTGTCTGGGGGGCGGGGGGGGAGAGGTCACTGTAGAGCTCTGTGTTCATTGTTTCACACATTAATATCTCATGCCTGCAATCACAACCTGCTGAAGTTACAGGAAGATTTGAAAGTGGTCAAAAACATTGGAAATCTTGTTTACAGAGAATTCCATATGTAATCAGTTATGGAGACATTTGCAGTATATATAGAATTCTGTAAACAAAGACCCATGTGGAAAAGAACCTTATTTAAATTCCAGTGAATAATCTTTGAATTTTCATTAGTTTTTCCTTGATGGTTACCTTTCTGACTGGTTTTGCAAAGAAAAACAAGATGCAATGCAGTGATTTTTTAAAATTGGGATATAATGAATGCAGGACAGGGATGGAAAGTTTTACCCTTATAAACTCACCAAAATTAGAGCACCTCTAGCTATTCCCCCCAAAAACATCTGTGTACACTGTGGCTCCCCACATGAGCTAATGCGTATGTAAAGCCCTAAATGCCAGAAATGACTACAGTTCTTTTGGGTCTTTTAAGTCTCTATGTTTTCATGGGATAAGCAATAAAACACAAGCAAAAAGTTAAGGTATGGATGCGTTTCCCTACAGTTCTTTATCTATATGTCAACAATTATCATGTTCTTATAAGGGTAACTGAAAATTTCATTCTAAAGAAGTGCCTAACAAACCTTAATCTTATTGATAGGTTTGGGAATAATTTACATCAGCCTTCCCCAGTCTGATGCCCTCCAGATGTTTTGGACTTCTCCAATCAGCCTCAGCCAGCATGGCCAATAGCCAGGAATCTTGGATGATGAAGTCCAAAAGGCACCAGGAGGAGGAAAGCCTGTCTACATGATTGAAAGCCTACAGAAGTGGATGCAGAACTTCTTCCAACATTATACTTACCCTGTATTTGTTTGTACTGTTTCTTATATCTAGACTGGCTATGAGCCAGCTCTCTGAGTATTCTGTGCTTGTCCAAAGCAACTGATCAAAACTTTCACCTTCTATCCTTAGGTATAGATTTAAAGCAGTAGGATTTATTGGTGGTTCTGAGATGGCTGCAATCTGGTATATAAGTCTAATACAGCTCCACTCCTCTGAATAGAGTTCAGGACTGAGCAATGCAGCTGTGTCCCCATGTGTTCCCTGTGAGGTGTCCACAGAAATATAATGACCTGAAAAGACACAGATAAAATTGGATTGATAACCAGAAAACAACGTTGCGTTCACCATATAGCCTGCCCTAATGTGGTGTCCTCCAGTTGTTTTGGTCTACAACTCTTATCAGCCCCAGGAAGCATTATCAGTGGTCAAGGATATGAAAACTGTAATTTATTTATTACATTTCTATGTCAAATCTCTCTGGGTGGCCCGTTACAATTCTAATTATAAAATGCACAGCATGTTAAAACATAATATAAAACTTAAATGTTTAAAATTACAGTATAAAACCAGGGTAAAAACTAGGCACAGAGTAAAGTTCTAAAAATATAATAAAATTTGAATTTTTAAAATGGAAGAATTTAAAATGTCTGGAATGAATTGTTGTGAATTACCCAGAGAATTTCAGCTATTGGACAATATAAACATGTAATAAATAAATAAATAAATGCCTTCACTTTGCACCAAAACTAGGTACTAAGTACGTATATGTCCACTGGGAAGCATTCAAAAACGAGGAACCACAACTGATAAGACATCCAGAGGGCACCATGCTAGAGAAACCTGGATTAGAATATGAACTGCAATCCCCCCACTCCCCAAACACACACTTCAGAAAAGGAACGCATATAAAATTTTAAGGATGAATAAAAGTGTCATTCAGAATGATAACACAACACGAACAGCAATTTTGTATGTTTGGAATTTTTTAGAAATGAATGCAGGAAACAGCTGCATACACCTTTCACACATGAAGCTTATATACACCTTAAGACACAAATGCATTTACCATATTTATGACTGCAATACTAAGCATCCATGTAAGCATTGAGACCCACTGAGTTTACTGGGTATTCCTTCTAAGTAAACACACTAAAGATTACACTGCATTAGTAACACCAGCAGAAGCCCAATAGTCTGATAAATAAACTATACATCTAAAATGATTTCTGCACTCACTGTGTTCTCTTTCCAATACAATTACGGCAGTGCATCACTGAAGAGAAGGTATGTCCGACAACAAAGGGCAACATGCTATATCATTTGCTGGCAGAAAGCCCTTTTCAAGACAGCCGCCAGCTAACACACTTCATTTTAGAACTTCCCCCAGGCTGTTGTGGAGGTTGCCAAAGTCAAGCAAAGCATCCAAGAACCAATATACTAGCTCTAATACATAGCACAACAAGGAATCTGGTTAGTAGTACAGAACTTTGAAAGCTACCTATCAAAACATTTTCCATTTGACCAGTCTCAAAATAAGTATTTGAGAATGCAGTTTGTCAGAATGGAACTGTCCACTGTTAGACTGGTAAAAGGAAAGCTTTTCCGCAAACTCAATCAGCCCAATGCATTTTGCTGCCTGAGGCAATTTACAGGACAGTTCCCTTTGCAACTCCTTGTAAAAAAGCCAGCTGGTCTAGCTGATGAATCGATATTTGTAATGCAACTACATCTTCCACCATACCTTGAGGCAGCTGGCTAACTTGTGGAGGGCAAAGCAGGTGAATTGGCATACACAGCTGTATCTTCCAAGACCTTGTCATCACCTACCTGCCACCTGAAGTAGCCACCTCACTTTGCCTGTTGGTGGGGAGCTTATCATGTGCAAATATTTTTCAGGAGCTTCCACGTGGAAGACTATAACATCAGAATTAATCTTTGATATCACAGTTTTTGTGAAATGCACTTCCAAATACCCCTGAAACTAATTTGGGTATATAAACTCCACTGAAATCAGTGCGATTTTTATGGAATATATTCAGGTTATTACTTCTAAAGGGTGAGATTCGGGGCCCAAAGACTGAAAAAGATAAATTGGAAAAGTTCTTTTTTATTCATAAAAATAAGTTTAAAAGAACATTCTAATGGCTTTATGTGTATAATCAGTTAACATTTAAAACAAAACGAGTCTTCCAAAATAATCTTACTTTTACCCAAGATCAACATATGATTATCAAAGTACTTCAAAGAACATACTGCAACTGTAGGTTAGAATTAGTCCTATTTTTGTTTTGGACGTATGAGAAATGCTTCCCTAAATGGAAACCCTGGCATTCCACATTTTTGGTACATTCACAGCAGCACTACAGGCTGGATAATAACCTCAAATAAGCGGAGACCTCAAATAAGCAAATAGAGGGTTTAAATGTGTTGTGTATTATGAGCAGCCTAGTATCCATCTATCCTCTCTCTCCCTCCCTTTCTTCCTTTCCTTGCATATAAGGCCATTTGTTTCAAAATGACAGCCGAGGTTTTCTCCTATCTAAAAATTAAAGCCATTATAGAGTTAACTTTCCCTCCCTAAAATGCAATATGTACTGGTTCTCAACGGAAAAACCAAGCAATTCCTTCTAAATCCCAAGTCAGTATGAATAAAAGTGATTTTGGATGCTTTATACTTATGCTAGATAGACAAGAACTCTGTTCAATAGAGTTGAACTCTGTTGCTACATACACTGTATCCTATAGTAAAGGTAAACATAAAGGTTTCCCCATGACATTAAAGTCCAGTCATGCCTGACTCTTGGGGGTGATGCTCATCTCCGTTTCCTAGCCAAGGGAGCCAGCATTTGTCCGCAGACAGTTTCCATGGTCATGTGGCCAGCATGACTAAACACCGAAGTGCACAGAACGCTGTTACCTTCCCACTGAAGTGGTACCTTTTTATCTACTTGCATTTGTATGCTTTTGAACTGCAAGGTTGGCAGGAGCTGGGACAGAGTACGGGAGCTCACCCCGTCTGCGGATTCAAACTGTCAACCTTTCGATCGACCAGCCCAGCGGCTCAGCGGTTTAATCCACTGCACCATCGCATCCCCTATCCTATAGTACCTTCCTGCTAATCCATATTTGCAAAAAGGCTCAGTAGAGTTAGGTTGTACCCTGGGTTTTCCGCAAAAAGATGTCATACAGATTAATATTATTGGCATTGCACAGGAGGTCCTTGACACAAAATGTAATTTGTTTTAGCAATATGACACCATAGAATACTGCCCTCCTTTAACTCTTACCTATCTTTATGCTGGAATACTGGCAAATACAGTGGTACCTTGGCTCACGAACTTAATCCATTCCAGGACTCTGGTCGTGACACAAATTGGTCATGAGCCAAGTTAAATTTCCCCATAAGGTTCAATGTAATTAAGGTTAATCCGTTCTGTTACTATTTTTTTTATCAAAAAATGTGAAGCAAAGTGACAAGCAACAACAAAGATTGCAGCCATCTCCCCACCCCACCCCGAGTGTGGTCATCTTCCCAACCCACCCCAGCACGGCCATGATTGAGGCCGTCATCCCTGCATGTACCCGTCATCCCAGTGCGCTGCAGGGGGAGAGACGGGCATGAATGCGGGCACGCTGAGCGGGGAGAGACGGGCGCAATAGTGCTGGTGGGGGGTGGAGATGGCCGTGATCGCGGTCACCACCCAATGCAGAGTTCGCGACCTGAGTCAAAACTTTTATGAAATTTTTGTTTGCGATCCGATTTGGTCGTGAACTGAGGCGTTCATGAGCTGAAGTACCACTGTACTATGTAAGATCTACAGTGCTTGAGTGATCATTATCATGCATCAATGGAGTTGAGTGTATTTGCTAACTGTAACTGAACTAACAGAACAAAAATTGTTTCATTGGATTATAATACTTTGCTCTGGATAAAAGTAGATCTGTGTGGTCTTCATAGAACAATCAAATAAAATGTGATAACTTGTCAAAATACTAGACCTCTTACTAAAAGTAGTAGAATAGAAACACATGTCAAGATAGGTGGCAGCAGGGGAAGCTTCCATTGGGGGACTAAGAGCAGTTGAGAGTGGAGGATAATGTTTTGAATGGCTGTGCTGGTTTGGGAAAAAGTTAGAAAAGACTTTCCCTTCATGCCACAGTTCCAATTCTGATCAGCCCCACCTCTGTCTGAAACCAGACATATTCAATGTGTCTATGGAATGGCCTGAGTACCACAGACATAGTTCATTCGTCAAAGTAAAGCTGGTGCAGACCTGTCTGGAGTACCTGGATGAGAAACTAAGTACCTCCATATATGCCACTGTAATCTGTGTGCTGGATGAGTGGGATACAAAGGTAATTATTCACCACCACCACCATCATTAGTAATGCATTAATTCTTTTAATGAATGGACAAACCACTGGCTGTTTAGGCAATAGTCAAAGTTCTCTGGACTGTTGTAAATCTGCACATTTGCTAAAGAATAAGAGGGGAAAATACTCCCAAAGCAACATTATGTTTAAAGGTGGTGAACAAAGTAAGTGTCACAAATAGAGCAAGGAAGGAACTATGATGAGGAAACAAGCTGGATTGTGTAGCAAAAGGACCTGTGATGTGGTCTGAAGCCAATGGGAATAATAATAATAATAATTACTATTATTATTACATTATATTTGTATACTGCCCTTAAGCAATGCTCTCTGGGCAGTTCACAACATTTAAGCCACCAATCCAAATTTCAACCAGGACCAATCCTGCTTAGCTTCCAAAATTAGCCAGGATCAGGCACTTCTGGCTAGGTGAACAATTCACAGCAAGCCCAGTCATCGGTGAATAAATAACCCACTGTCAGTGTAATGCCCCTTTCAATACTTATCTGAGTGTCCAGCAAGTCCTGAAAGTGAAGCTATTGGTTACCCTCCTTTTTTGCAGCTTCTTTTTGAATTCTGTTTTTTGCCAAGCTTCTACTTTGTTCCTATTTCCCTACATTTACCTCCCAGCTTTTAAATTTGCTCAAATATTCCAATGGATTACTGTAACATGCAGACATCCATTCTATCAATGTCCATCTCACTCCTATCCTCAGTGTTTTAAAATCCAGAAATTCAATCAGTCATGAAACACAGTCCTTTCAGACACACAGCCCCTAAGGCTACCAGTCAAAAGACAATGTGCAGCTATTCTGTCATTCTCTCCTGAACATCTTTTCTGAGGTAAGAAAATAAAAAGGTGTGGGGGAGAAATGGAAGGAAACATGCAAAGAATACAAATGGAAGGTGATGACATTTG